GAACGCAGCCATTATACTGGACGTGATTGCACTATATGAATATTGCACAGCAACTTTAACTAAAAAGAACAGACTTAAAATGGCGACGAAATGTTGCAAGTTATTCTATTTAGCAAACCTCTTCCTACATGGAACATTTTTACTGACCACTTTTTTTCTCTATGTACTATCTAGTTAAGTCTCCTTATTCTTACTTCGTGGTTCACATATATGTAATACTCCTATATTGCTAGTCGCGTATCTTCGCAATGAGAGGCACGAGGCCCGAGAAAGGGAGACGCACGAAGTCCAAATATGGGCATAGATGGTCGAGCGTCATTATGCGCCGCATGCGCACAAAGCAGCTGGAGAGAGAGGCTACTATATTGTCTGCACCGTAAGGGCGATGTCCCATTGAGCGGAAATCTATAGCGGAACGGAATGTGCGGAACCAGCTCGACCAATCGTAACCATAGAAAAAGCGAAGGAAAGAAAACGGAATGGCTATGATTGGTCGAGCTGGTTCCGCACATTCCGTTCCGCTATATATTTCCGCTCAATGGGACATCGCCCTCACAATCGCTTTTGATTGGACAGAGGAAAAACCTGTTCAGTGATGTTACGAATTTGCAAGTGTCTCCTACTGAGAGGCTCTCTACATCAAACCAAACCTTAATTTAAAGGTGTTAGTTGACATTGTAATTGACATATGACTGAATAAACAGAAAGACATTTCTTTAATGTAATATTTACAGTAGTATTTTATTAGGTTCAATCAATAAAATGACCTCCAAGCCCGAAATTACTTTGGAACATTTTTATATATTTAATGGCACATATGCGAAAAAAGAAGGAGAGGTGAGTATATGCAAAGAATGTATTATAAAATATTTCTCTAAAATGTATCTGTATAATTATATATTTTGTTAAGGAGGAAAAGAAAATTTTATATTACTATCCAGAAAAAGACTTAGATGTTCAAATCAAGAACATTGGTCTTAGCGAAGCAATTATCAAATTTACAGAGTAAGTATCATAGTAGGTATATTTTTACTAATAAGTATGTGACAAAAATCATGCTGCAGATCTTTTAATCCTGGTCAACCTTGTGATTATTGTCATACACACAAAACACGTCAAATATATTATCAACCAGAGCCAAATTTTTGGATGGTGATGGTAAGTATATATACAAAACACAATTAGACAAGTTGATTTCTTTAATCAAATTTTATCTCATACATTATCTATTTTTAATAGATTGTTGGTATACCATATATTTATAAAGAGCAAGATGGTAATAAGTATCAAAATGATGAAGTGTCCAGTAGTGTCTGTCAAGCTATCTTGAAACAGACATACATGATGTTTAGACTATTTATGGGCTCTTTTGAAACTATTATTAATGATCCTGAATGTGGATCTGTAATGTTGTTGAAACTTAAACTTGAACATTTTTATTCACGAGTAAAACAAAAACCCATTATTTTTTAGCTATAAGATATGGAGTCAATATATTTCATTTTTGCTTTTATTTCAGTATTTGCTGTCATTAAAACTAAACAATAGTGATATTTTAGATGTATTTCAAGGTTTACAATTTTTACCTCTCGACAAAATTACATTTCTTAGAGTGCAATGTTTTATGAATCTTGTAGAAGCAATGTTTACACAAGTAAAATACACAGCATTTCTTTACAATGATCAAGTTGTTTGGTAAGTGTTCTCATTTATATGACTCTTGTAACCAAGAGTTTATCATATCTTAAATCAGTTTTATGTGAGATTTATGTGGTGCTTATTTAGGAGTGGATTAGAACCTGAAGATATGCAAGTAGTTTACAATTATTTAGTAAGTACACTTTTGCCAGCTCATCTTGAAAAAGAGTTACACGGTGGTTCAATACCTAGAAGTTCTCCTTCGCCATTTACAACTTCACATTATGGAAAGTAAGAGCACATGCATTTTATATTTTAATAAGAAAATATCTAATTTATATATTTTATGACAAGAATATTATTAAAACATTACTCAATTAATAAAGAATCTTTCAGGTTCCGAAGTTTCTAAACTAAGAAATGTATAAATGGTCATGTGAGCCGTTCGCTAGATGTTGTGCGGAAATATGGGGCCAGGAGCCGAGGAGTTTTTTTCGCAATATTTTAAAATTAGTTAAGGAAATATACGGGATCTCTTATATATGAGATGCAAATATAGCATCCTATATGAATTTAAGAATTGAAATCTTAATTAAAAAAACTCACGTGTAAGATTTACACGTGTACACGTGTGTGTATATATATATATATATACACACGCATATTTCCGTACATCTAGCGAACGGCTCACATGACCGTTTGTACATTCTTTAATTTTAAAACATTACTGTTTGCATAGATTTGTTACAGGACCTGCTAGCGTTAATGAGCCTAGTTTAATTGGAAAATCACCAAAAGTTTTTATAAATTATTCTACTAAACCAGTATCGTTATATTTAGTAGTATATCGAGCATTAAGTGCTACAATATGTCTTTTTGTTGACAGTACGTAGATTATTAGAAACTATTATACAATTTTTATACAAAAACCGAAAACTAAAATATTCAAATTTTATAATTGTTCCAGAAAAAACGAGTTTGTTAATTGATTTTTTTAAAAGCTTAGATAGTTTTCTTGGTCCACAGTTAACTACATTAGTCAGTTCTGTGGCTGAACAATGCTCTAAAACTGTAATAATTACGCCAGAATCGTGTACCAAGTTTCTGTATTTTAATAAATTGAATTTAGCATATAAAAGTACGATACACTTAGATAACAGACGGTGTTCTAACGTACTTACAACGTGTGAAGTATTGAGGATCATTACTGATATATACAATGATAAAAATAGGTAAATTTTAAGATTTATAACACACACACACACACACACGTACATATTTAAATAAAGATTATTGAATTTTTAGATTAAACGAAGCGGGAGAAATAATTGTAAAGACAATGACAGATTACTGGGTTATCGGGAAATTGTCTAATTTAAGAGAATTTTTTGTCATTATACAACAAAAAAGTGCAAGTATTATAGAAATCGATGGTAAGTATAAAACAATTTATAAGATTCAAACCGTCATCAAGATGATGATGATGAATAATCTTTATACCGATTGCAGATGAAGTAAAGAGGCTTTGTGAGAAACAATTAAAAAGCATTTTTTTCCACTGATGGTACATAATAAAATTTTTTATGTAAAAATGAGATCAGAAGCATCGTCTTTTTAATGAATTTTTTGCAGTATAAAATCTGTTTTGGTTTCATCAAGTTTATGAACAAGCAATACACTATGTGAACTTACATAGCATCTTGTTAGGAAACTGCATAATTTATACATATTATGTAATATAAAATGTGAGATGTTTATGTATGTATATATACTTTTTTATATTATATAAATTCTTAGAAACTTTACTATCTAAGTCCACAAAATATCTTCATATGTAAATAAATTGAGAGCAGCTAGGATAACTTTCGCGTAATAACCATGGTAAAATAAAAAATAAAGTTATTGTATAAATCCATAAAACATTTTTAAACATATGTTTCTTCCTTTACAGTTTTTTGATTAGGAATATTATTAGAAAATTTCTGCAGTTTTGCTACAAAAAAACCATCCATATTATGTATATGCGGATAAAATCGTTTAGTCAGTTTCAGTGAAGGATGAAATCGAAGTTGCCTGTAAGTCGTGAAACCATCAGTTCCGAAACCAATTCCTGTGTCAACTAATCTGACGTCGCGCTTCCTTAGCGCATAATCAATGATCCATTCATTCTCCTCCGGCAGAATTGAACAAGTCGAGTAGACAATAATGCCACCAGTTTTTGAATGCGCGTTAACACAATCTATTGCAGCCAACAATAACTCTCTCTGCAACGTGCAACAACGTTGGATATCTACTTCCTCTTTATCAATTTTTACACTGGGATCTTTTGCTACTATTCCTGTGCCTGTACATGGAGCATCCAGCAAAACTCTGTCGAATCCTTTCATAATCTACAAATGACGTGTAAATACGTTAGGTAATTTTGCAATTTTTATGTAGTATATTAGAAAAAGAGACTACTAAAATTTTACCATAGGGAATTTTCTCCCATCATAACTGCAAATTATAGAATTGACAACACCAAGCCTATGGAAATTGCCAATGGCAGCCTTTAGTCGATCTTTATTTATATCATTCGCGAATAAGATTCCAGTATTCTTCATTAAAGCAGCAATATGCGAGGCTTTACCGCCTGGTGCGGCACATATATCGAGAATTCTTTCATTTTCTTTTGGATCTAACGTCATAACTGGTAATAAACTAGAAGCGCCTTGTATCATATAGTGTCCAGCAAGATATTCTGGTGTTGCACCAATAGGCACCTGTGAAGAATATATTACTAGACCAATTTTTGTCCATTTTCCTAATGGATCGACATTGACTCCTCTTGCGATTAAAGCCTGAAAATAAGTTTGACGTTACAAAACTTGAGATACATAAATAGAATACTGTATGTTTAGCATATAAAATATAAATCTACTTCTGCTAGATCGCGCCGTCGCGTTTTCAGAGTATTAGTACGAATGGTCATAGGCCTTTGTACTTCACTGGCTTCCAGAAATTCTAATAATTCATTCAATTGAAATAACTGGATTAACTTTTCCATTAAAAAATCATTGTAACTATAATATGTACATAAATATCGTCGAAGTAAATCGATGTATTCAGAACGTGACCTATTTTTATCTCTCATTTTCTTGAAATTTGATAATATTGTAATAACATCTTGCATTCGCTGTTGAATATTTTTTAAGTTAGTGATATCAGCAAGTTCTTCTTCATTTGGAAAAGAAAATTTACTTTGTTGAACCATCATGTCCTCCATTTCTTCCTGCGCAAGCTTTCTATATTCACAATAAAAAATAACAAATAAATACTAAGAAAAACAATAAATACATATATATTTATATAAAATAATGTTACTCTTCGTTTTGCTTCTTCTGTTTTAATTTTTTGCTAGCTTTTTCTATTGAAAGTAAATCATCATCACTATTATCACTTGTTTCTTTTTCTTCATCTTTCTGCTCATCTTCAACAGATTCTTCCTCACTAGATATTATTTCATCACTATCACTTTCTGTGATATCCATAATTTCCTGTTTTACTTTCTTTGAAATTTGTTTAGCTTTCGCTGTAAGGAACAATTTATTGTCATTATTCATATCTTTTTCATCTTGATCTATTTCATTGTTTTCATTCATAATCTTTTCATTTTCTTTTGTTTCATCATCCTTATTATCACTTATATTTGTCCCATCTTGTTTCATTTCTACATCTTCAGTATCATTATCACTCATATCTTCTTCGTATAGATCTATTTTTTTATTTTCAACATCAGTGCCGTTCATATTTTCATCTTGCTTATCTCTAAAATTATCACTAACCTCTTCACTATAATTATCACTATTGCCTTCTACATTTTTAATTATAGGTTTTTGCTTAATTTTCTTTCCTTGTTTATTTTGTTTCTTTTGTATTTCTGACCTTAATAGGTTATTAGAATATATTTCTACTTCATTATGATGATCAGCAAATAGATTGTTCTTTTCCTTTTTTTTCAATTTCGATCCTATTTCTTTGCCCTAAAATGAATAGAATAGTCAATTTTGTAATAGAAAAAAAAACAAGGGTATAAATATATGTATATATATGTACATGTGTATAAATATATATACAAGGTATCCAACAATTAATTTAACATCTGTTGTAGGCAGGTAGGAGTAAAACTGAGTCAAAAAGTCCTATATCATTTTACAAGATTCGCAATAGTTACCGAGATTTTAATTACCAAAGATCCGCGAATAAGCATGCATCGGTAATTATTGCGAATCTCGCAAAATAGTATAAGACTTTTCAACTCGTTGTCAGTTTTACTGCCTTCTTCTATCTGCCTACAAGAGATGTTAAAGTAATTGTCGGACACCCTGTATGTGTATATATATATATATATATATATA